TATCAATCTGGAATTAAAAATTCCATGAACGATTCCATGCGAATTTTTTTTTTTGTAAAAAATTTAAATGAAAACGCGGCGTAAATTTTTTTTATCCGTTACTTTCGCATTATTCTTCGTCAATTTTATCTTTATTATTATTATTATTTTAAAAAAAAGTAATTTAATTTTGTTATGGTTACATCACCGCATTTTTTTTTTATCTTCTTTTACTGTCGTTTTTTTTTTCCTTTCTACCTTACATATTTCCATAATCTTTCATTTTTCATTTTAGTCATTTTTTTTTCTCTTTTCTCTAAACCCCCCTCCCCAAAAAAAAAATATATTAATAATAATAATAATGATAAATGTATTTTAAATTAAATTTTCTTTTTTTTCTAATTTAAATATTTAAAAAAATTTTTGAAAATTTATCATTATTATTATTATTTTAAATCAAAAGAAATAAAAAAAAAATAAATTAGAATTTTTGTGCTTGTTCGAGCTTTTTCCCCCCTTCTCCTTCCCCCCAATTTTCCGATTCATTTCATTTTAAATTAGCATCATTTTTTTTTTGCAACCTTAACAATCAATCAATCAATAATGTGAAACGTGTTGTGAAAAATAACAAAGAAAAAAAAAATTTGATTTATTACTCACGTGAAAAAAAAAAAAAAATATATATATATATATATATATATATATATATATATATTACAGGTAATAATACTAATAATAATAATAATAATAATAATGAAAATTTTTTTTTGTGTATTTTAAACGCATAAATCATTTTTATCGAAATGATTTTTCTTACACGTTAATTATTACAAATATTTCTTTTTTTTTTAAAAATATTTTCCCCACTTTTCGGACACCAAACAATAAACAAAATGACCAGACTGGACGAAAGGGGGAAAAAAAATGGCGGTTGTAGGAGTTAAAGTAAAAAAAAAAAAATTCTTTTAAAAAGCGGATATGATGCGTTTTTTTTCTACGGGTATTTATTCTAAAAAGACAGAAACAAGTTGAGATTTTGTAGAGACAAATTTACAAGATTTGTTTAATACGTAAATTTATTTGTTCTTACCTTTTGCAAAAAAAAAAAAATTATAAATAATTTAAAGGAAACACACACACCGTGAAAAACTATGTAAACATAAACGGAAGTCGAAACACAAACAATAAAAACTCGATATTGTGTCGGTGAAAATTTCGCGAACGTTTCAATATAACAATATAACGTCGTCGTCCGACTCGTTCGAACTGGAAAACTTAACTGAAAATTGAAGTTTTTTTTTCTTTTTTTTTTTTTTGTTATCCGAAAGGGAAAAACTCAAAACGTTGAATTTTCTTTATCAACGGATTTGTGCGATTGCTCAGCATCCGACAATTTTCCCTTTTACGGAAAACTAGCACTATTTAAATACCTTAATTGTTTTTAAAAACAACATTCGAAAAATTTTTTTTTGTTAATGCTCTTTTGTGCAAAAAAAAGTAAAAGGTTAAAAACTTTTTCACTGAGTTTTAATTACTTGCATTTATTTGTTTAAAAAATTTATTAATGACTACGTAATAACCTTCTGACACGCTTAACGCCCTTTTTTTCCCATACGCCTTCTTTCTCTCTTTCTGCCCCCCCTCCCGGTTGAAATAAAATCCTGTTGACGTGACGAAATTGGAATTTATTAAAAAATTCAACCCATGTTCACCTTTTCTCTCTCTCTCTCTCTCTCTCTCTCTCTCTCTCTC